TATCCGGCAATGTATCTTTGTTTGTAAGGATCTTTATGCAGTTTAAGAATCCAGTATAGGTGAGGCAGAAGGAACTCACTCTTGTTGAGTGGAATGTTAACATTGTGAAGAGAAACGTGATTTTGAAGAATTTCATCCTTAGAAAGTGAACAGTGAGTATAAGTTGGATTTCTTGGAGACAATGGATTACTGCTACGGATTTGGTTGTAAGCATCGCAGTGGAATTAAAAAACTTTTAGTTTGTTTTCCTTCCCGATCATTGCAAAGAAGAAGAGAAAATGGATTGATAGATACAGGTACATGTAACAAGCGTTTGATTGCTTTATTGTTACATTACATGACGTAAATACAAGCTATTCCAAATGGGTCACGATTAGCCAAAATTGATTATCACGTCAATAAAACATGATCCTTGTAGAAAACACATTCTATTTTTTTTTTATTTATAACATTTCATTTAAATAATCACCGTAGTAAATAAAATAGATCAGTTCATTCTTTAGTCTACTTTTTTAAAACTCTTTTTGTCTACTCTGTCTATCAAATAATATATATGCCATATATATCAAATAAATATGCCAAACATTCTAAAAAAATCATTTTTCAATTTTTCTAAAGAATAAGGCATTTCTTTCATGTACACATATTATAAACTGCCTACTTCATAACCCCCCCACCCCACCCCATTTAATAGAGGTATAAGAAATTCTCAAAATATAGTATGCATAATTTAAAAAAAAAAACAACAACTTTTTTCCAAAAAAGAAGGCATTTCTTTCATGTACACATATTATAACTGCCAATCTTCATGCTACCTCCACAATACTCATACAATTTTCAGATATTCAAACATTTTATTCTTGAAACAGGATTATTAATTTGTCATTATATATTACAGTGCTGCCCAAGGTACTGGGTAAAAGGCCAGAGTGCTTTGACTGAACGTGTTATATATGTACATGTACCTGCCAATGAGGCAGCTCCCATAATTATTACACTAATGAAGCGTGTGACAACCTCCAAGGAGTTGATGGCGGAACTCAATTTAAATCAGGTAGGTTAAAGTTTTGGCTGCTTATTTCTTTATTACAGATAAAATATTCCAAATTTAGTTCAGTATTAATTTCACACAAGCTCACATACCATGGTTAATCACAGCACCATAATGTTAGTTTAATACGTTATACGTACTTCTATTTTGAATTATTTTAAATTTTGATATGCTAAGTATTATGAGAGTAAATGTAAGCTCAAGAACTTATTTTGGCACAACAATTTCATACCTGTAGGAAACAGATCATTCATAATCAATGTAGTCTTAGGAGCTGCTGACTTTGGGTGTTTCAGCCAACTGCATCTTTTATCTCTCTTACTGGTCCTCCTGTACTTTAGCTATGATAAATAAGTCGTAATATATAGAATTAAGTGCGATGAAAGAATATGTCAAACTGACCGAAACTTTAACCAAAATCTCTTCTATATCATGCTCTATAAACACATTACATGCTCTCTAAACTGAGGAATATGGTCGTATCATTGCAGTCATATGAACAGTCATGTTCAATGATGAATGCAGAGAGATAGAAAAATATATTAAGAGAATTCTATCATTGGGAAATAAATGCTTCAAAAATTTAATCTTAAAAAAGTAGATCCTATGACATACAACAGCTAAAATTCTTCTGAAAAATGAAACGTATTCTAAAAAAAATAATTTACCCAAACAACAGTTATGCAGCCACAAAATGACATTTGTACCCATCGGACACTGATAAAACTCCCCAAAAATCAGCTGGTAATAACATAATTGTCCTCGGATTTGAGGAAAATCTGAACATAAATTAATTGGAATGATAATTAAAAAAAAATTTCATTTAGGTATAATATTAAGGCAGAACCTATGTCGGAAAAGTCTTTGTCAAAGGGTTTCCAAACTTTCCAAAATGAGTAATTAGCACTCGCTTATTAAGGAGGGATTCTTCTCATATTTCTTGTATACAAAAATTTTCATCGATTCAAGAAGACATTATTATTACGTGATGGTATCAAGTAGATTAAATTTGACCTTTTTATTTTTAAAGGAAGGTCAGGTCAAGGTCATATCTTTTTCCTTGACCTTAAGAATAAAAAGTTACTGATGCCAATCATGCGATGCCTACTTTTATTTCAAAAGATCAAATGTTTTTCTTTTTGCATAAAAATATATTACCATAGGGTCTATCAGATAATACTACCAAACTGACATAACTATTTTAACTAAAGTAGATATTGGCTAATTCGAATTTCTTCTATTTTTCTTAGATTTTTAGGATATATTAGTTATCTTTATATGCTTCGTATGTTTAAATTTTTCTTATTTTCACATATGGTAAAGTAGTCATATAAAGATACAAACTGATACAAAAACAAAAAAGTTTTGACCGTTTACTAAGAGAGAAAAAACACTTTTTACGGATTTTTTGCTCAAATCTGTACATAGATTGGAAGCTTTTAAAAGTTAACAAAATTTAGGTTTTGTTCTGGAAAATTATATTTATTTGATATATTTTAAAACGTCAGTCCATTATTATTAATTCTACTTAAATTTGAAATTTTCTTTAAGTCTTTGATTATTTAAAAATTTTTAATAAATTCATTGTTCTATAGTAATTTTGAGAAGCTGAAAAGGAGATATTTTCATACGCCGCGTTCCGCCAAAAATATAGTACCTGCTAGATTTCCAACTCAGTTTACCTTTTCTATGTAAAGTTGCGCAATTATGATAAGGAAAGAAAAATATGATATTTTAAATCCCTTAAATCTAAATATATAAGACATATAAGCAAATATACCTATGAATATTTCATTTAGTCAGAAACCAGACAAGAATCCCTCCTTAATCAATTAAAAGTACATGGCATGTTTCCTTCTTATTAAATGCAGTGCAGCCGGTGCAACTTAGAAGGATGATTATACACTGCGACTGTAATTTTCAGCCATTTTAGGGTACATGGTCATAAGGAGAATATAGAAAATCAAAAAAAAAAAAAAAAAAAAAATACTTCTTCAAATATCTTCGTTTATAGACATTATGAACTGAACAAAAGTTACAAATATTATTCAAAATTAATTTTTTTTTTCTTCAACTGATATATAAGATTAAATCCACATTTCAACAAATATTTGCAAACGCGCTCAATATTTTTCAAAGGATTTTGTAATCAATCTACAACCTTAAATTTGTAAATATTTACCAAAAGTCTTTGTGACAGTGTTTTTCAATCCTTAATATGATGAAGAACATGCCCAAATAATTACGAAAAGTGATTGAAATATATGCCTTTCCCCGCAAACTAATGAGAGAAATGGGTTTTTATCAATACTACTCATGTTGACCTTATTGCACTTACACAGGATTTAATGATTAAATGGATGTTTTGGTTTACTTTCAGATCTACATTGTGAAAAATGATAAAAAAAAATGTAAATGTCTATTTAAAAAATTAATATTTTAGCGAACTATCATTATTATACACGAACTATTAAAAAAATCATATGAATAATTAACAAATAATTATAAAAATGATTACACATCATTTCGTAATATATATTACAAACATTAAACACAATCTTTAATAGATCTATAACTCAGACGACATATCATCAAGACATTTTACTATTTAATAGTCAAAAAAAGATTTCTTAGCAACTTTGCATTCCTTCAAAATGCTTGCATGTCATTCACCTCATCACAGTTGTGTATAATCATTAGCTGAGACAGTCTTGCATTAACTATGACGTCATACGACGTACGTTCTACGTTAAACACTTTAATTTTCCAAAAATACACATGAAACAGGTGATATTCTACGACCTGTGCATCTGAACTTTGATCGAAATTTTCTTCGTGGTCGCTAGCACACAAGCTTTAATGACAAGCAATTCATCCATCGTAAGTCGGAGAACTTCTCCGCTTTGTACAACTGTTTAACGTTTCCTTGTAAGCTTTGTGTAAGCATAAATATGCCAAGCCCAATACACAACTCCATGTGTGATGTACCCAGAAGTTAATGTTATCGAAAAATCTAGCGTGTCACCTAACTAGAATTACAGACCATATTAATATTTTAACTGAATTTTTTTGTCTTATTGTAGCTTCTAGAAAGTGCTGTTGCTTTAAATAGAACATTTTACAAGTTTAAATTTCAAGTTATCAGGCTGAAGTTGAATTATGTGTGACCTTCACCAAGTGTTTTATGTATTTATCCAGTTACGTCCTCGATTAAATGAAAGCAATAGCACATTTCATGTTAGGGAACATCCCTTTATCTATATCTAAAAATGTTAAGATTTTTCAAGGTGGAACGGCCCTCCTTAATAAAATTCTTTTTTGATAATAAAATGTTGTTTTTCTGTGAAAAAATACGTTGTCTGTCTCCCACTGCACATAAAATGCATAAGATTTTACTATGTATCATGCCGCATTGCAATCAGTTACACATTTATATACCTTATTAAATCCCAGGGCAAATAATAAAAAAAAAACTTAGAAGACTTAGAAGCCACGGATGAATAAGCGTCCTTATCAATCGTTACACCTTGCCTTAGACTTTGAATCAGAAATGCAAGATTAAATGCGTATATGAAATTCAACAAAACATTTAGGATATTTAGTAGCATAATTTGAATTTATCTAAGTTTAGGGAGTAGAGCTGTGTAGGATATTAAAAAGAAGCACCAAAGAAGAATTACTTTCACTAAAGACAAAAGACCTTGAATATAATTGTGTAAGACGAATTTAATTAAATTTGGAATCGACCTCATCAACGATTTTTTTATTCTGTGAAAACATATTGAGAACCAGCCGAAGATGTGTCTTGATTTGTTTAGATTTGTATAAAGATCTTTATATTTTTTGCCGTTGAATGTGTTAACTAATTTGCATATGAATACCAAGTTTCCGAGAAAGAAATTAACATAGACATTATTTTCTGAGAAATTATGCAAATTGCAGTTTATATAATAAAAGAATTCTGTAAGCTCTACCAGTAGTTTCAAACATACTTCAAAATGGAAAGCTGTCCTCAACCCTGTGTGCCACAGTCGCACATTTATGCAGACATTGATTTTAATGTTCGCTCACTTTTGTTTATTTTGGGTGGTATGTCAACGATTGATGAAGGCGACATACTAGAACTCGAAGATATATATCAGTTACGTGAGGAACTTGAGATTCTAATACGAAATGTATCGTATTATCACCCGAGAATACAGGAACTTCATGACAGAATTTTTTCGTTGAAAACAACGGTTGATAAATTTACTAAACAGGAAATCAGTATAGAAGAAAGGGTAAGATCACAATATCAATTACAGTGGGATGACACGAAAGACAGATTCACTGATGTCTCAATAGTTTGCAGCAAAGAGCGAGAGAGAATCGATGAACTAGAAAGAAATGAAATAAGGTTTGTATTTAACATGATAACACATACTTTGAGTCAAACGTTATGCACGAAATAGGCTCAAAGAAAGTTTAACCTTAAGCAGGACGCAGTTCTTCTAACACCCTTCAATGGTTGATATTCAGCACTTTTCCTCCCTTTTTATAATATTGTGTTTAACAAATGTTATAGAAACATAAAATGATTCTTTAATCGATATGACAAAATGGCTCTATCTTTTTCCCAGATATAAAAGGGCATTGGAAAATAAAAATAGCAGAATAAAATCATTAGAAGAGAAGGTTGCTACATTGTCAGAGAGCAACGAAAACTTGTCTTCAACAGTTAGCGAAATGAAAGAGGTTTATGTTTAATTAAATTTATTTATTCACAATGTAACTGAATCAACATTTTTAAAACTAATAAAATGAAATCGTTCAATTAATTGAACACCTTTTGCAGTGGAATGTAACATTAGCAAATACAAAAGAGTGGATTTTGAAGAATACTCACAATCGACTCGCCATGTGCAGTGCAGAACTATCTTTTTTCAAAACAACACTCAATCAGGTATGTAGTATTTCCATTTCTGTATAATTTTCTAACCGTCTATAAATGTTTCATAGGGAACGCACTATGGAAAGAAGAAACTAAAGCAAGCTTATTCTTCCTAAAAGTAGTCAAACAATTTCATTAGTTTAAAGTACTAAAATACATGAACTATAACATTAAAATACCAAAAAATAATTCTTTTGAAGACCATCGGAATAAGGATGTATGACGAGTGGGTGTTTGACAAAACCAGAATTCAAAATATTGGGACGCGCAGATCATGCAGACAACAAATAATATAAGGAATATCTACAACATTCGACTCGAGGCAGAACGGCGATACCTTGCACAACAGTATCAAATGAAAGTAACGTGTCTTTTTATTTGAGAAAATGTACATGTTGAAATTGCGTCAGAATAAAATGAGAAGATAACGAACAGAAAACATAGTCATTAAAGTTCCTGAAACAATATAAGCTGCTAACAAAGCAATAAAGGACCTCTGGAAATTAAAATTCAGGGATTGGATCAGGTGCCATGAAAGAAAAAGCATCTCCTCTGGACCTGTCACCCTCGCTGTTTGCCCTTTGTCATGATCGGTTTAACGGAGAAATCTGTAGTCAATCTAATATGAAATTAATCGACTATTTTTTTTTTCATGAAAGAGTCAATCAATATTGTACTTAACGACAGATTGTATTTATAAACAAGGTCATTGTATCGTCTAAAGGATTTGCAAAATACAAATTTTAATGAGAGTGTAGTGCTCTTGTATGAGCAGCTTATTTGTAAGTAGCTCGTTTTAAGAATTGTTTGTAAAGAGAACAAGTTCTTGCGTATTGAATCAACTTGAGATTCAAACCCCATACCAGGTGATAATAATATTGCTACAGAAATAAGGAAAGTTGACGAAAGAAAAGTTAAAGTTATTAAGTTTAACATTAAGTATAGATGTTGGTTTGTCATCAATTTCTTTTTTAGAGTAAAATATCTTAATATAAAGCAGATGTGCCTTTTACATATGATCAATTTACGATATTAAAAAAAATTGTCTTTTGATTTCAGATGAACAAATCGGAAACGGAGATACAGAAATTCAAGAAAAGTTATAAAGCACAACTTCTACAACTGCAAGAGAAAGTAGCAAAAGTTCAGGAGTTATGAAAAAAATGGTATCTAATTGCTCATCCACACATGATCGACAAAGATGCACGAGACTGAGGGGAGAATTTCGCATCATGGTTGACATCGTCGTCTCAAAGTAATTAATTTTGATGTTAATATTTTGTTAGTATGTCTAATTTCTTTATTGCACTAATTAAATATTTAATTTTTTTTCTTTTGGTTGTTTAAGAATACTACTTGACATATATTACTCCCCTATAAATTATTGGATCCGAAATCAGGTCATGACCTATCACGTGGTGCAGTGATACTCCTCGTGTATTAATCTAATTCACCGTTAATTTAAAGTTTGGAGAAACTGTTTCACTACAAATGATATTCAATTTATTATTAAGGAAGGAGATATATAGTATATATTTATAGATTAGTTTATTATTCTGCTTTATAAATGATGTAGAAATTCAGACTTCCATTCCGCTTAGTTGGTTTCAATTGCAAACACAGTTTAATACAATTACAAAATTTCTACAACAAAATCTATTGACAGGCTGTAATAACATAATGTGTATACTAATAGGTATCGGGAATGTTCGCCCTATCGGCCTGTACGCATGAGTCCGTCCGCACAGGGTCCGTTCGCCATAATTCTTCTTTGCCCTATATCTTGTTCGATGTATATCTCGTTCGCCCTAATATATATACAGTATATAGCAAATGTTAACATTGATTATTAATTTAATTTAATATTTTACGACGTGGTGTTTTTTCAAATGTTGCTACAGTAATTTTTTTTAGTTTAATCTTAATTAGCCATACTAGTATGTCTTAACTTGTTTACAATGTGTGTGTGTGCAATTCAACTAATTTTTGTTCCACTTAGAGTACGAATAAACCGTCGTTTCACTTTCATAATTCGACTTTAACTGTTTTATAAAAAACGAGATTTAAAAAAAAATCCCCAAGTCAGCCTAAATTATTAATTGTTTTAGACGCTTGTTTACCATCAAGAATATTTAACAACAGTGATTTGAACATTGCAAAATATAAATAAAAAGAAAAAAATTGCCGATTTTTCTCAAGTGCAAATAGCAATTTTGTTTTCAACAATAATCTTCAGATCTTATATTTTTAGTAACTGTGTTGTGGCGTAACGGGCTGACACTGTTTATTATGTTCCCCAAACGAAGTTTGGGAACATATTGTTTTTACTCTGTTTCTTCTTCTTCTTATTATTATTATTATTCTTTTTTTCTACTTTCTTCTCCGGTACTTTTTTGTCCGGGAGTGTTCTCATAGAACCACTCATCCGATTGACATGAAACCTTTTTAGGGTTAATAGGCATGTTGTGTAGGTGTGTGGAACGAAGGTCATTTTGCGCGCACATGCATGCACGTGCGCGCGCGTGCAATGAGTGAAATGACTGATATACTTGATGAAGCCGTAACTTTTATATTTCTTGATCAATTGCTTTGAAACTCAAAATATAAAGATATATTAGTAGTCTAGACAAGACAACATGGTCAAATTAGCGTGAACTCACGCGCATGCATGTGCGCTCTTCTCTGATTGGCTGATACAAAAATCTCAATAATTTCCTTGTTTTTTGACAAAATACTTTGAAATTTAGAATATAAGTATATATTATAAGGTGCTACAACATGTTATATAGGAAATTTCTTGAAAACACGCGCTACAGGTGTGCTGCAAACTGATTGGTTGAAACTTTAAATGTCTTTAACTCCCTTGGTTTTTAACAAAACAGGATGAAATTTAAGACATGGATAGGCACATAGACCTCCTACATTATGATACTATCAAAATTGAATGCAAGGCCATGCATGCGCGTATGCTGAATTTTGATTGGCTAATACTTAAAGGGTTACATCTCTCTTATTTTTCAATGAAATTCTTTAATATTTAAAACAAATGTATGTATTGTGAGACACTATAAGATAATTAATGTAAAAAATGTAGCTATTAGATTGGCTCATACCCATATGGCTATATCGGAGTAGTTTTCCAATGAAATACCCTTAAAAATAAAGTGTCCATCTATATTACAAAAGTATTGTCTAATTTATTGAAGCTTGTAGGGAATGGGGCATCACAAGGGATTGGGGAGCCGTTTGGGGAACATCTGTAACGGTTCCCGTTACAATTAGCACTAGTTGTTATTATTTCAGGCTGGGATATCTTAGGTAAGAATTAGAATCCAGAACTTTCTCAATATCCATGACATCTTAAAAAGACGTAAAGAAGATAAAATCTTGCAAATTATTAAGCTAAAATATGGTATGGTAATTTTCTACGTTCTAATGTACGACTGATTTATCTTTCCTAAATATTAACATTAAGGTACGTACATGTCTAATCTTAAGATGGCCGAAATGAGCCGTCAAAAAAAATCTCCCTATTATGTACAGAAAGTTAAAAATCTTCCTATTATGTACAGAAAGTTAAATGAGAACTTCGAAAAGTAAAATCAGTAACATTTTTTACATGTGCAGTTCTGACGAGGACCAAATGAATGCAGTTGTAATGTACAAATCTTGAGACACAAAATAAATTTGACATTCCTCACCTTAATTGGGGAGATAACCAGCAAATGTTATCTTTAAAATGAAAAAGGGAAGAGAACAAACTAGTTTAGAAATTATTTAATGAGCAGACCAATATTTTGGTCCCAGTTTCTTTCTCATTTTACAGATAACTTTCCCTGATTACCTAGCAAATAAGGTTAGGAATGTGAAATATTGAAATGTATTTTGCCGTGACATTTTTACGTGTACAAATTAATATTAAAACTATATGTTTCCTTTGACGTGACTTTTAATGTACAAAATGTTACTGGTTTTACTAACTTCTGTACGTAAGATCACTCTTACTTCTTTCATAGTCTAACATCTTCTTACATAATATAATCTTGTTATTTATTTTTTAAGTGAATCCAGCATTGTATATGCAGAAAAAAAAATTGGCCTTGAAAAAGAGATTTTCGAAAAGGAACCGAAAACAAGCACCAACGAAGAATTTTATCAGCAAAACGAAGCACTAGACGATACAGGATCACTTGATTAGCCTACTTAAGCCATTTTCAGGATACACACATAGTGACAAAAAAGCTGTTTTTCGTATGCACTCAGTAACATATACATTGCATTACATGTACATATGTTAAAATCAAATTTGTAAACAACTAGGGAAAACGCCTTTTCTTCTACATTTCATTGTGGACTTATTAATGTAAATGCCCCACCGTAAAATAACCATTGTTTGACATGTCAAGCTTTACCATTTGGTTATTCATACTATCATTTTTTTTATGGTATATAAGTCACAAATAGTGGTTTGAATAGAAAAATGAAAATTCAGCCTTTGTTTTTAAGATATGTGATATTTAAATTTTTTTTTAGGAATAAAAATTCTTAAATGTTTATAAACTGTTAAATTTTATATATTCTATCTTATGTCAATACTTTACTGCTTATATGTTGCTTTTTACTCAACCATGCTTAGTCTAATCTATCAATATACATTTCTAACAAATAGACATACTGGTACGGCATGTGTGATATGTTTGTATTCATTATGAAAATTGAAGAATAAAAAATTCAGACACTTTTTTCATTATACTGAAATCTTAAAATTCATCAAGATGAGGGAGATATATTTTGTCGAGAAAGCCTGTAGATTGCAAATGTGTTGGTTATGACTTAACCCTTTATCAAAGGCAAGGAACCCAGAAGTGAAGGCACAGTTAGGCCAGACATATGTAAAAAAATAATAATAAGAGCTTGGCGCATTCGTCATGTCAAGCACTTATATATTTATTGATACACATGCCCGTAGAAACCGGGGGGGGGGGGCGTGCCCCTCCCCCCCCCCCCCAATAATTTTGGCACGATAAAGAACCTTCACTGCTCAATGGCCCTGAGTGCCGAGTAAAGGTCTAAATTTGAAGCCTTTCACCGGAACATGGTGACGTCTCCATATAAGTGAAAAATTCTCGTACATGAAACAACATACAATCAATCAATTAATCTTTGTTTACTATGCACTGAAAGCTTCATATAAATCTTTCACAACATGTTAAGTACTTACAGGCATTATTTTGACGCATTTACCTTGAGACGTTTATCTAATTACATGGTGAATAAACTTACACTTTCTTTTACATGCGTAAGAATTTCATACGTTGGTACACTTCCATTAACCATCAAGGATGAAGTTTATTCGTTCACTGGTGTTTCGGAAAGCATGTATCCTATTCTATTTATAACACAATGGACTTTTAGCATGTTATTGCTTAAAAAGAAATTTCAAATCTCACCGATTTCATTTTTTTAAAAATATTATGAATTGTACCTTTATGATGATTTTGAAAAAGTACTTGACACATCACTTCGTCGTAACATTACATGGAAATACATTGCCTTCATCAACCTACGATGACGGTATCTCTTATTATAGAATATATAGGTTGATTTTGCACACGGCTCATAATTTCTTTGGAGTTTAGCGGGAAACGTTCATTTGGCAAATTACGTACAAGATCATTCAAACTATTTTCTTAGCCCTTATTTTGCTAGGGAGGTTTCTGAACATGATTATTAATCCTGATAATAATAAAAAAGTCGTCTACAAAATTGACAAGGAACATGCATAAATACTAAAGTTTCATTTTATTGCATCTATGAAAAGTTGAATACTTGTTAATTTATAAAGTACCATATGCATATATAAATCTTATTGTAATAAATAGACAAAATAGAGAGTACCATTTGCATCAAATAAAAAACAGCTCTAAGAAAGACAATGTTTTCTTTTAAAAGTTTTGTTGGCATATTGGATAGCAGTGTTCTTTGTTTTCCGCTTCATTGTTCCTAGACTATGTTTAAGTGTCAGTTGCAAGGGATTTGGGCACCACAATCCTCCTGATGAATGGTATATATATATATATATATATATATATATATATATATATATATATATATATATATATATATATATATATATATATATATATATATATATATATATATATATATATATATATATATATATATATATATATATATATATATATATTCTTTTTTGAATAAATTTACTTTATATAAAAAAATACATAAAAGAGAATATAATTTCAACATGAATGTTTTTCGCTGCAATTGGACTTCATGTTTCACAAAAAATGTTTTTTATCTAACAACTGAAATAATGTTTCAGGTTTGTTTTGTACAAACTCCTAGATATACAAATGACGAACATAAACTTGTTCAGAAGGGAAATGTTTTTGTATACATGAACTCAACGCAACATAAATGGGCGTTTTCTGAAATTGGGATTGATGAAAAATACACACCAATATACAATACACTCCAACAAATATATGTAAGTTGTTGTTAAATTGAAATGCATTTATCAAAGATATGCGTTTATCTTATGCTTTACTATTCATAACCAACAAGAGAATTCTTCTTGAAGGTAATATTTTTATCTAAAGATAACAGTAATATGCTAAAATAAAATATAAATAATATAATAATGAATGTGTTACAGTGTTCTTTTAAGCGAATTTGAGTGCAACACAGGAACAATTGTCAAATAAAATATTTGTAAGTTATTTAAAGAAATAAAATTAAAAGAATTTAGACGAATTTTGGACATTCATCTACAAGCTCTGCTGATGCAAATGTTTTACTTATAACAATATGTGACTCACAAAACACAAATTCAGAAACAGTATGTAATTTTTTTTTTTATTTCTTTATTAAATACCCGCCAATATCATTACTCAATTCAAGGCAAATATCTATGAAATTAAATAAGAAGAACTATCTTAAAACAAAACTTTCAGGAATTTAAATTGAATGTTAAATTGCACATCTCAGGATCAGCCTAATAATTCCGGGTTAGACTTTGGAATGTACAACGACCAGCCTCCAAATACGGAAAGAGTTGCAAACGTAGCAGGGCAAACGAAAGGTGTGGAAGCTCTCTGTAATCAAGCTTAGCAACCCTCACTTGTATCTCATTAATCTCAAATGACCCTTAACTGTAGGAGATTATAAATAAGATATTACTTTGTTATGCTGTTGTTTTATAATATCTTGATAGAAATTGATTAACATATTAAATATTTCTCACAAATTAGCACTTTGGATATTACTGACATATTAACACATTGAATATTACTGATATATTTTATCAATAAAAATACCGATCGGGATTTTTTTTTAGGTGCATTTGCTTTTGATGAGCTTGGAGGGTTTTGGATGATAATAAGTACACCTCGTTTTCCTATGCCCTACACTTCAAAAAGCAACTATGTTTTTCCAGAGAAGTTTTTGGAGAGCAGTCAATTGATCTTCTGTATATCATTGGCTAGAGATCAAAAACAAACATTGAAAAGTAAGGAAAGATATTCACATGAGTTAATTGTGAAATCATTTGAAGAAGTAAATCGATATATTCAAACTAGTTGACAAACATAAATTTTTAATAGATGCGTTTCAAGTAAATCGGTTTAAGAATCTCTGTTATCTGGTGTGTTTTCATCAAGGTTGAGATACCTTGTACCTACTTAACACCGCCGTGTCAATTATAATAAAACAAGCAATAATAATCAATTTTAAATTTTGATTTTCTCATTTTCACAATCACCAATGTCTATGCGACTCTTACTTTTCAGATTCAATCTTTCCAATAACATTTCCATATAACTATAGTGGTGTTTGGGATATTGCCGAAAGAACTCCACCACCGACAGATATAATGGGTATTCGCCGTCATATTTTATTTAATTACATTTTTTTCTGAATGTCTCTGGGTAAAGAGCATTGATACAATACAGATTCATATATCTGATTATTATAACAAAAGTATCAATTTTGCATTTGTATACATATATTTTTTCTAAATAATTCTTATACATGTTTTAGTGGAAAATTTTGGAACAGGATACATTTACTTTGCAAAGCACAGAAGAATTGAAAAAGGTACAATACTTTTCAAAATAAATCTTTTTTCTCTATTTTAAGAATTTCTGATCTAAATTCCCATTTTAATCTGTATTATGTTAGGGGTGTCTATATTCTACAGTGTTATTTACATTTTCGACATCTCTAGAGCCGCTAGCAAACTATCTATTAAACAGAACATTGTTTGGTGATGGGATTTCAGGTATTTTTTGATTGAACGTTTCGACTGTCATCAAGGGGAAGCAGATTATGCCACAAAAATATACAAAAGAAAAAAAAATATAGAGATGGTTGTTGAAAAAAATCATTTCTCGAGGAAAAAAACAATGCTTTAAATAAAGCAAAATCTTAAAAAATACAAATAATGTCCCAGTGATTTGGTTACCCTCCCCAAAAATTGCCTTCTTGCAAACATTTGCTGCAAGTCTGCTGCAGACATTGCTGCAAACATAGAGCAAATTTGCTGCAATGAAAACTTAAAAAAAAAACTATGAATCTATACAAATCCCTATGTTTGCATCAAAGTTGCGGCAAGTACATGTATGCAGCAAGCTAACATCGAATATTTTACCATGCAAATGAGGTTTGCTGCAAGTCAGAACACATTTGGTTTTCCAAATAGAGAAACCTTGCTGCACACCTGCGGCAAACATTGCTGCACACTTGCTGCAACCAATCCTACTAATTTGTGGCAAACATTCAGTAATTGATTTTGCACATTCCTGCGAATCAACAGCATGTTCGCAGAAAATCTTTGCTATGTTCTTTTAAAATTATTAGACAGTACATCGCACATGTTTGAAACTACCATATGATATGTTGTAAGTTTTTGAAGAGTCGATTGATAGCCTATCTTTATGTTCCTAAACAATGTTCCCCTATTAGTCATAATTGATACATGAAAGTATAAATTGTTTGATTTTTAATTGTACATGTCTATAACAAAAAAAAGGTCTTTGAACATTATTATACAGATGTATTATTAGACTGAAAAAAAAAATACAATTCCTTTATATACTTTAATTCATTTGGAACTTACGATACTTTAACGATACACAAAAATGGGTGTATAAAATAAAGATTGTAACTCGTAAATAGATTTGACCTACATCAGGTAATTTAGACACTTTAAAGAAAGAATTATTTCATATTGAAATAAAACAAAAATACAGTCTTACCGATCAGATGTTGTATATGCCTAATCACATGCTTCCGTGGACGAATTAGTATTTTGTAATCATTAAAAATGGTATTTATTTCTTTACAAAAGTATTCAAACATTTACATCTGTGTTAGATTTAACGTTTCTTGCCATGTTATTGCGAACATGTTGAGTTCCTGCTAATTTGCTGCAAGCTTGCAGTGTTTGCCATCAGATCGCAGCTAGTGACAATCATCTGCAAATAAGAACAATCTTGTTTGCTGCAAACTTCTAACAGAATTCTGCAGGTCAGCATCATACATATTTATGTGGTAAAGGTAGGCCAATTGTTTAAAAAGAGAAACTTCAAATATATATTATTTTCCCTCCCTGCTCGTTTGAGCCACATTTATCCAGGAAAAGGTTTCTAAAAGAACAAAAAGGCTACTTTCTGCCAGCTCATCAAGCATAACAATACTGACATTATAATGAAAACTTCAAGTGAATAGTTACAAAAAATACTGTTGCACCTGATCCAACCTCTGACCCCCCTATATTTGATCTCCTTTTAATTTTGTTTTACAAGATTAAATCGTGATCTTTCACTGAATGTTCGATTTTCTGAGAGACCAGATTGCTGATTTTCCAGTTGAACCTATGGCTCCTTTGTTCTGTTTTTACAAATAAATATAAATTGGATTTTTTCAATAAACACAATTTAATATGTATTTGACTAATTATCATCATCTCTTACGCACTTATTCTTAATTTTCCAGATGTTTTTGAGTATGCCAGACGTAGATTAAGTCGCGGGGAAATGACGGCTCACACGGCGACTACAACTACAGCTGAGTTAAAAAATAATCATGTATAATGTCGTTTTTTTGCTAGACATATAATCCGTGTGTGTAAGAGAGAGAGAGAGAGAGAGAGAGAGAGAGAGAGAGAGAGAGAGATTCTTTTACAGTTAGGATTTAACATTGTTTCAGGCCGGTATAAAACGGTTCATGAGAGCTGAGAGCCGTCATTTCAATGGAAACTGCAAACATACGACTAATTTCTCTAAACTTTTATAGATGCATCAAGTAAAATTGTTGAGCTTTATGTTGCCACTGCCTAAACCTCATGTATTACAATGGATGTCCTCATCTGACAGCTCAAAGTGGACGGTGACGAATGATTTCATATGCATTGGAGATCTAAACAGAAATGTAAGTTATAGAAGGTAAACACTCAATATCGCCAGTGTATGAAGGGTAGGGAAGACTAGAATGAGTAAACATTAATTTGAGTTTAATTTCATAAATTGTTTTGCTGAGTGGGAACGGTTTATAAACAAATAAATTATTTATTAAAGGAGCAACAATTGAGTCGAGGTGGGAGACTCTTGTGTATGAAGAACCGTGAAGTTGCAACCCAGTTTGAATCTCTCGTATCATGTTCTTCCGTACTGAATGAAGATATTCCGTATATTGGTTACATGGCAGGGGCTGTAACGGATTTGTTTGTATGTTGTTTCTGGTCACACAACTACTATGAAGATAGGTAATTATTTTTGATTACTTGAAAATTAACAGAAATTAATCTATTATGAGAATGAAAACATGAATTAGAGGACATAGAATAATAAAATAATGTCAAAAGGAATTTTTAAACGTTAATGATTGCTGAACTAATAATTATTATGAATTTTCCCTTATATCGTCGCAGCGGTTCCAAATTATCGTATGTGATCAAATTTTGACATTTTTCAGAAGAAACAAAAGATGTTTTTAATTAAGTATTTTTTAACATCGATCAATTTCGCTCACAATAAATAAATGCTATAATCATTGTTTGTGATATGATAGTCAGCTATAGATGCTACTGTATCAAATGTTGAGTATAGCGGACAAATGATTATTTGTCTAATGAATTATGGTAAATCCTTTGTACTTACAACTTTTTGCTATTGCCAATTTCACATTTTCTATAATTATAAGAACACACCATGTCAATTAATTCGTCCTAAAATTGTTTGATAATATTTTTGGTGATCTTCTAATCCTTTGAATTGACTTCCGTTTGGACACATTATGTTTTAATTTTGTTGCCTGTTTTGCACCCTTTCTTCCCTCGTCAGCATCACTAAGTCATACAACGACAATTGTAATAACTTGTTAAATGAAGTGTTTACAAACATTTATTAACAAAATTCAATACTACAGATCCACAATATTAACAATTAAACGTTTTGTATTCTGCGAAAGTATGAAATCGAAAACATTCAAGCAGTAATCTCTTTCGAAGAAAAAATAAAAAAGACAAAAATCTAAACAGTTAAGTACACACGCACCAGGTAAGTACATGTATAATAAGTTTATATGTGTGACAAATTATCATCAAAGGAAGTTCATCGAATGGAATAACGCTCCTCAGCTGTTGAAAATCTTTATATTTCACTGCTTCGATTTTATTTCTTATTAAACATAAATTTTCAACATCAAGGATAGTACTTTCAAATTGTCGTACATCTCGTACATTTCATGCTGAATTTGATTACAAATCGAAGTAGCTCAGAAAGAATCTCTGAAATACGTGTTTAATCAATAACAACAGCAATGAACATTAATTATTTTTGAACTTTTCAATGATATAAACTAGTTTTCAATTATTTAAAGACGACTGGAAATGAAAATACATGAATGTATCACACATGGATATCTTTCCACAATCATACATTTTGATACCTTATTTTATCTATTAAATCATCAAAAGAAGCGTGTTCTATACGATATTGAACATATTATGTAAAGTAATAGAATACGCCTTTTCCTTTACTTTCAATGATCTGCGTCTTAATGTTTGGATGTGTTTTTTTTACATACGATTTTTTTAAGAATAAAACATGTACATGTTACCAATTATTAAACGAGATTTTGTCACATGCCTAATTTTTTAAGACTTCTGGTTGTGGTAGAAGTACGAGTTTTTGAGCGCTCATGGATGCTCAGTTATTTATTCTAAAATGGAGAAAAAAAACATGAAATATATGGAGATAACGAACAGTATTCAAGCTCAAAAGTCCATTATACAATACAAAATAGGAGCAGAGCAAACACGGACCTCCAAACATCAGAGGTGGGATCAGGTGCCATGGAGGAGTGAGCATCCCCTGCCGACCGGTCACACCCGCCGTGTGCTCCTTGTCATGATCGGGAACACATTTTCAACTTCTGCCGACTTTCTCGTGTTTTTAAGATTAAGTTATAATATAGTTATTATTGATTGATTATGTCCCATTCAAGAATTTTTCTCTCTTATAGAGACGTCACCATATACCTTTGAAGGGCTTTGATTTAGACTTATACTCTGCACTCAGGGCTATTGAGCAGTGAGGGTTCTTTATCGTGCCAGCGCCTAGCGTGACATGGGACCTCGGTTGTTAAGGTCTCATCCGAAAGACCAGTGACCATTACTTCTAAAGCCGGGAGCTTGGCGAAGGAACAGTCACTACCTGTGTTTACGTCTTAGGTTTGACGCGGCGCGGCGAACGAGAATCGAACCATAACCTCCCGATCACGAAGTATACACACTACCGTTAGGCTACCGTGACCGGTTGATATAGTTATGAGGTATAAAAAGCCCCCCCCCTCCCCTCCCCAAGAATTTTGTGATAAATGTAGTTTTACATTTAGTAATTAAACAGTCGGTAACAAGGTTTTGTAATTTTCAGTAGCACAATGGATTTGAATATATTTTCTCTTTAATATAAGAATTTATTATTCACCTTTCTCAGAAATATGTGCTTTCTCAGAAGTGATTCCATCCATGCTTAATGTAACGAGGAAGAATTTTGTACGATAAATACATTAATGACCATACTTTCGACTTCGGATTATATTGAATGAAATATATGGAGATAACGAACAGTATTCAAGCTCAAAAGTACATTAAACAATACAAAATAGGAGCAGAACAAACACGGACCTCCAAAACATCAGAATTGGGATCAGGTGTCATAATAAATAATAAATAACATACCAAATTGCTGAAGTGATTGCTTAAAAAAATATTAGATCTGCGTCATTTGTTCAAATGAATATGATATTAAATGAGGATGTATATATTACGTTAAGTTAAATTTTAACTTTCAACTTTTTCGTCTACCCAATGCTCTGCTGGATAATTATGTCAATAATTGTTGTCATTTGTTCGGTAAGTAGAAATTTTAAGCTCTTCACATGAGGCACATATAATCTCTTCTAGTTAATCTGATTGTTTTATCTAAAGTCTTGACTAACAAATATCTGGAAAGATATCCATTTTGGAAAGTAATAATCCTGACACATGATATGATATGATATGATATGAAAGTCAGTGAAATTCACTAAATTTCTGTCATACATGACATCAAGATTTAGTTCAATAATAGTGTTTTTCTTCATTCAAAGGTAATAACGGTAAAACATCGAAGCTTTTTCCCTCAAACACAGACTGCCAAGAAAAAGGAAGAAAAAATCGAAATCAATGATCAAGATTCGGAGCCTCAAAAAAAGACTGAAAAAACAAAGGAAAGCAATGAAGAAGCTTCCAAGGCCTCTCAAATGAAACATTAATGTACATAATATGAAATACAGATGTATCTCCCTATATATTAAAATTGTTTCTATTAATTTTTGGATATCACAGTGTTTGATTTGTGTCTTAATGTTTAAAAGTCTGTCTGTTTTGCTTCCTTAATAAAATATTTCCTTTATCTTTTAATTTTTATTTTACAAACTTTGCCTTGGTATAGGATTTACAGTGTATATGAAACCTTAGACTATATAGCGAGAGTCTTTTGATACCGATATCTGTTAATGCTTGTGTATATGTTTTATAGAACTTGTAAATTGTTTAATACTCATGCATGTATTTTTATTTAATTGTTAAGCTGCAATTTATTGGCATACTTCTCATCTTCAATAAATGACCATTTTCAAATTCTATACGTTGTTTACTTCTTTTTTTTATGATGAAAGACTGTATTTAAACAGTACGGACATTATGCAATATAGTAATCGTAGAAACCTGGCCAAGAATATTGAATTGTTTCTCTTTTTGGTAAACGAGCCTTAAGTATATTTCTTATCAATAAAAATATCCCCTTCAATTTTCAGTGTTTCCGGTGAATTTTTGAGCTTTTTGAATTTGTGAAAGGCTTTGGACTGGCTTGCGGTTGTAAAACTGATCAATGCCCAGGTTTCTTCATCATTTGTAATTTATTTGGGCGCAAACTTATGCATAGCGCCAATATTCTGTCATTTCGCGACAGAATTCGCAACAAAACTACTTCATTTATATTTAGATAAATTATAACGCTAAAATGTCCGTTAAAAATACGAATTGGGAACACATTAAACACGGACCTATAAATACATGACAGTTTGATTCAGGTGACGTAGAGGAGTAAGCATCTGATAATTAGAGTACCAGTATCTACAAGTTCTAAGTTTTTAACCATAGATAAAATATGAAGATAACGAAACCAGGTTTAAAAGTCCATTAGAACAGAAGAGCAAACATAGACCTATATAAGCATCAGGAATAGGATCAGGTGCCATGGAGGTCTAAACATCCTCTGTCGATCGGCCACACCCGGTGTTTGCTCCTTGTCAACGGAAAAATCATTAAACCATTCAATGTAAAAATAATGGCCTGTCAAGAAGTAGGTATGGTTTTGGCTTTATTGTGCCCGAAAAATTTAATATTAAAAAAAATGAAATTGGCTTAAAAAATTGTTGAGTACTAGATGAAATCACGCGCGAAGAATTGAATTTATACCACTACCGACAGAAGATATTGTAGTTTCTACTGACAGCTTACAGGCTTATAGCAAGAAGAAATACTTTCTTCAAAATCCCGCATGAAGTAGATGTACGTCTCTACACACACCCTTTTTGTGAAAACTTGTAAAATAACAATTTTATAAATTGACGTTTACTGTGAAACGTGTTATATTATGTTATGGATATTGTACTTCAGATGCTCTTATTTCATTTCCGTCACTCAAGGATAAAAGCAGCGAATATGCACATTTTACCGATAAATTGATTTTTTTGGAGGGGGGGGAGGTCACAGGAACTTGGATCTGGGTTTATAAATATGTATGCACCTTAGTGGTATGTAAAAAATGTCTTTACTTTTTTTAAGTATCAATAAGGTACATATATATTTTAAAACCAAGACCCAAGTACCTGTGTGAAAATGAGCTTTTAACGCCCCATGAAAAGGTCGAGAATTTGATGCAAAAGACTGTATTCAGATAAAAAAAACCCTGAGATGTATTGATTAAAGCACAAAATTTTACAGCTTTAATTGATTGTATTTTAACAATATCTACATGTAATTCATTAATTTTCTCTTTTCGTGTAAGCAATTTTATTACAAAGTACAAATAGTTGCTTTCATTAATGAATTTATACAAATTTTACCGATAAATTTATTGGGAAAACCTACTATATAATTATATGTAATGTCTTTCGATATATAAATATATTCACAACTTATAGTGTTATCAATGGATTA